CTGCCGGGGTTATAAGCGGCTCTGCCTCCCCGCTGCCGGGGTTATAAGCGGCTCTGCCTCCCCCCTGCCGGGGTTATAAGCGGCTCTGCCTCCCCACTGCCGGGGTTATAAGCAGCTTTTACTTGGGTTCTGGGCATCAAACTCAGGTCCTCATGCTTGTGTGGCGAGCACTTTATGAACTGAGCATCTCCCGCCCACTGGGTCATCTGTCTTAATTTTCTGGAGGAGACACTAATACGTTCTGGATGTGAAGTTTTTACTCCGTCATAATCAGTCTGTTCCTTTGCATCCTGTCTTCTCACCCTTGTAGCATTGTCCTTTGTTCTTAGGTTTAAATTTGTATTTATCAGTCTTTCCCTCTATGATTATAATTCTTTTATACGCTATTTGAGAGATTTTTATCCATCTCAGAATCATACATGTTTTATTTCAATTCCTCAAGTCTTTTTGTTAGACCCTTTGCACTTAATACCAAATATTAATTTTGGGGTTCAGTTCAGGTTCTATTTTTCTAAGCAGCATTTGTTGAAAAAAGCAACCTCAGTGCTGTGTAATGTGGCATTGTTGCCTTGAGTGTCTGCATGTCTCACACTGATCCCTTTCCTTTGTGGCATTGTGGCCCTGAGTGTCTGCATGTCTCACACTTCTTTGGCCTCTTTGCTATCTACTGACAAAGCACTGTCTCAGTCATTGAAATCATACACCAACCAAGTCTTATGCCTGGTCGACTGAATTCTTCTACCTTTTTCTTCTTATGAAAGTTTGTCTTGCTGCTAAGACTCTCAGTGGCCCTTCCTGCTCCGTGTTAATTTTATAATTCTCTTGTTAGATATCTTAAGAATCCAGCTGTGGGGCCGGGCGGTGGTGGCGCACGCCTTTAATCCCAGCACTTGGGAGGCAGAGCCAGGCGGATCTCTGTGAGTTCGAGGCCAGCCTGGGCTACCAAGTGAGTTCCAGGAAAGGCGCAAAGCTACACAGAGAAACCCTGTCTCGAAAAACCAAAAAAAAAAAAAAAAAAAAAAAAAAGAATCCAGCTGTGGTTTTTGTTGGGCCCACATTGTGTTTCTAGATCACTTTGGAGAGAATTGATGTATTTATCACAATAACATTCCTAATCCATGGACTAGCCCCATTACCTTTAATAAAATTATCTTTAATTTTTCTTAATGATGCTATATAACTGGTCTAGATAAGCCTTAGGTGTATTTTTAGATTTCATCTTAAGTATTTGATACTTTCTGCTCCTGTATATTTGTATCTATTTTAATATTTTGGTTTCCAATTACTGCTAGGTCACAGAAATATAAATGATTGTTAAAATATGCACATTGTGTCTAACAATTTTGTTAAACAAAACACTTTAAAATTCTATTAATTTTTGTTTCTTATGTACAATCATGTTAATGTTAGGTCTCAAAAAACCGTAGGGACAAATGGCTGACTGGGGTGCCAGCTCTCCTCCCAGCTCTTCTGACCCTGCCCCTACCTTAAACCCCTCCCCTCCAGGGACTGGGTTTCCACTTGCCTCCTCCTCGTTTCTCTTCCCTGGGTAGCTCAGCCATTTGGATTATGTGTCCTCTTTGGTCTCCCAGCTCTCTCCTGGCCTCTTGGCTCCTGGTTCCTCTGTCTCCATCTCTTCCTCTTCCCGCCCTCTCTCTGCTCTCATGGCCTGGGTCAGTCTGGACCCTTCCAGATGTCTCTGGCTGTTTTCTCCACCATATCTACAATAAACCTTTTCCTCCACAATACCTAGGAGCTGCATGTCCTCATTCCATCCTTTTCTACTCAGTTAACTACAAGTAACGGTGGCCTAGTGACCGCTGACACGTCTTCCGCCATTACTGCCCAAGTTAGGATCCAAACAGAAAACTTCAACATCTCACTATTAATTTTTTTTCAAATACTTACTTTAAAAAATATTCTTTATCATATTCATGAAGCACCTACTACTCTGTTCCTAACTTACTAAGAGTGTTTTGAATTGCAAGTAGATTTAAATTATTTTAAATTTCTTCTCATTATTAATTATATGGCTACAATATTTCTCTTTTCATAATGTTATTTTACCACTCCCAGGAATGAGCCTATAATTTTGTGATGTTGGCATTTTCCCTACATTGTTATTATTGATTTCCTGGTATAAAGTTTGTATCCATTTGCACAAGAAGATGGGATTATTCTTTGTCTTTCTTACCATATCCCTATTAGATTTAGTGCCAAAGTTGCACTGGCTTCACAAAAAGTGTTAGGAAATGTCTCCTTATTTATTCTCTGACCTTCCCCACTTCCCTTGAACTTTTATGGACACGGTCAGGGAGGAAGAGCTTTACATATAGATATAATTGCTGTAATAGTTACAGATCTATTGAAATCCTCTATTTCTTCCATATTGGTACTTTCATTTTTCTGAGGTGATGTCCAGTTTTCCTTAATATTTCAAATCTATCAGCATGAAGATATTATTATATCTGTTTTTAAAAATTATGTCAGTGTGAGGAATCTACAGTGATGTCTCTCATTCTTGAGGTTGATCATTTTCATTTTCATTTAAATTTCATTTAAAGAGCCAACTCTTACTGGATGTCATGGCTCAGGCCGAAGGCTAGAACTTGGGAGGTGGGAGCAGAAGAAAGGAGGATTTAAGGCTGTCTCAAAACCAAAAGAACAAAAAAATAGAGTAAAACATACCTTGCTTCCTATGTGAATTAATAATATAAAACTTCCCAGCTAATCTGAGGAGCTTAGTTTGGAAATATTCATGTCTGAATTTTGTGATTTATCAAGATTCTATGTCTGTCAGAAGAAAATATTTGCAAAGCATGTGTCAAGAGAAGGGGAAGAAGTGGTGTTCCAGAGCCACAAGGCACTGTTCTGATTGTCTTGGTGTCTTCCTTGGTACACTCACAGGGTAAAATAGCCCAGTGAAAAATGATGAAGATGAACTTGAAGTAGGGACTGGGGGGGGCCATTCAACCTCTTTGTTCGTCTCCCCAATATGGTCACATAAATAAATCTATTTATGCTTCTCAAAAAAACAAAAACCGTTCAGTGTACTCTCTAAACTCTAAATAAGCAATTTTATTTAGAAAGAAAATTTTGGCCCAGTAAAGTAGTTTAGCAGGTTAAACACTTGCCCTTCAAGCCTGATGACCCGAGTTCAATCCCTGTATGGACAGAGACAACTCATTATAGAGGGTTCTCTTCTGGCCTCTACACACTCACCATAGTATGCCTACACTCACCCACAAACATCATCACACATACAGAAGTGTTTTTTTTTTTAAATGGGGAAAAGAAATTTGAGATTCACAGACCAAGCTGCCCGCAATTTGCATTCTCCTGCTTCTACCTCCTGAGTGCTGGATTAGAGGCACGTGCAGCTATGCTTGGCCCTAAGGAAACAGTGCTCAGTAAAGTGGGGAGAAAAGATCCAACCTCTGCTCTCCATGCAGCAGACATAGTAAACGTCATCGTTTGACCAGAGCGGCTTCCGGTTGTGGTTTTCATTTCTTGAAGTGGTTAGAATTATGCAAAAAAGGTGGTTGCTGTTTTCCTCCTGGCCCTGAAAAAGACACTGATCTTGAGAAGTTTTGCCCTGACTCCCACCCCTTGAAAAAAAGCCCAGATGGTATCAACGTAAACAGGTAAACGACTTGACATTGACGATAAATGTGTTTCAATTGTCGAACCCCCTTTTCCGTTTCTAGACATGAGCTGTAATCTTTAGATTTAAGTATTTCTCTTCCGAAGAAAAACGTTTCCTGGTAAGAAATCTCTGCAGAAATGCATATAAAACCTACACTGAAAAAATGTTTTTGCTGTGCGGTGGGATCACACTCCTTTAATCGCAGCACTTGGGAGGCAGAGACAGGTGGATCTCTGTGAGTTCGAGGCCAGCCTGGTGTGCAGAGGGAGATCCAGGACAGCCAGAGCAGTTACACAGAGAACCCTTGTTTTGAAAAAACAAAAAAACAAATTTTTCTAGGGCACATGGCTGCATTGGTCAAGCTTGTCTAACATTCATCAAGGCCTGAGTTTGATCACCAGTACTGCTGCATACACCAGGCACGATAGTACACATCTCAGCACTTAGGAGGTACAGACAGGAGGAGCAGACATTTAAGGTCATCCTTTACTCCCTAGCAAGGTTGAGGCTATCCTGAACTACATAAAGACCCTTGTGTCAAAAAAAAAAAAAAGTACATAAAAAGTAAAATTGAAAAGTTCAGAAACCCAACTTGTTTTTTTTTTTTTTTATTTGTAAATATAAAGTTGGTTTCACACTTTACAAGTCCATAGCATCCAAATCGAAGGGTCACGCACTAAGTGTTGTACGTGTCAGGGTCCACGCAGGTGGCGGTCCCTGCTTGGCCTGGTACTCCAAACCGGAGGAACACACCAGATGCCTGGTACTCACTGCCTTGCTGCCTGGCTTACTCTCTTTCCCTTGCTAAAGATACTTATTATTATGTGGACAAGTCTGAGTGTGGGTATGTGCCTGCCTCGGAAGCACCGGGTTCCCTTGGGATTGTGAGCTGCCTGTGTCCTGCTGGGAACGAAAGTGGCCTCCTCTGGAAGCACGGTATGCACTCTTACCCACGGAGCCATCCCTGGGGCCTCTGACTTGCTTTCTCATTCTGCTCAGGAAAAAAGGTGCAGCATCATAATTGTGCCAGCCTGTGAAGCCCTGTTAAAGCAGTTGATGGGAATAGGCCTGTCCCTGAAAATGTCTCTGTCTTTAGGGTGTTGGAAAGGTGAATTTGGGGTGTGGTGAGGTGTGTCTTTCATCTACTGATCGATTAGTCCCGTCTGGTGCTATTCTGTTGTGTGATTCGGAGGGCTGAGTTCTAGAGTCAGACCCCTGTAGAGGTGAGCTCCGATTCTTCATTTTAGGAGATGCGCTGACTGTTAGCAGGCTGATTACCCTTTGAACTATTTACCATCTCTACTAAGTGAGATGATACTCGTCCCTGCCGGGAGAACATTTCCCCATTTACCGACAGCTTTGTCGTGGGCCACCTTTCTAACCCTGGTGGGAGGGTGGGACAGGACTCCCAGGAGGGAACAGGTCGGATTTGAATGACACAGCTATAACACAAACTCACCACGTCTGCGATAGCCCCCTCTGACATTCTGTGTCACCCTCAAGGGGCTTGTCCGGGAAGGGAAGCTGGTGCCAACACACAGTGAAAACTGCAGACCGATGGGCGCAAGGGAGCCTTTGCTTCTGAGTCAGGAAGCGCAAGTCCTTTGCCAAAAGCACAACACCAGGGCAGGGTGGCACGGCTGGAAGCTTGCCAGCTTTCAGGATGACTGTGAGAATGGCGTGGCGCTCTGGGAACACACACACACACACACACACACACACACACACACACACCTGGTGCGTGTTTATCCACACTTCACTGACCTTCTTTCAGGTTTCAGTTAGGAAGTGTAATCATTAACAGATCTCAATACTTTACCGTGGGGAGATCTACATGACAGACCGAGAGGTGAAAGTTGATGCCCTCTCCCGCCTTTTCCAGATCCTTCCAAACAATGGATTCCAGCCTCCAGTGTGTACTAAAAATGTCACCAATTCCATACATACCTGGTACAGCACAATGTGTCTTTACAAGCAAATGGGTACGACCATTTGTCCAGTGGCTCTGTCTCAACCTGACTTCTTGCTGTGTTTTTCAGGGGATAGGAGAGTGGATGATGAATAGAAAATGTGAAGAAAGAGGAACACTCATTCTTACTGGGAAAAGTCGGCTGCGCACTTGCTAAGCCACGGAGCTGTGGGATGTGCTGATGATCTTGCAGACTTTTCCAATGGTGAAGTCTGCTTATGGATCTCTCTGCACTGGAGTGTTGAAGAAAGGACTGCCCATATTCTACTCCCTGCCTCACCTCCTGGGCATCGGCCAGCGCGCGCATCATGTGCCAACATGGCAGTGATCGTACACGGCAAACCAACCACCGGACAAGTTTATCATGTTTAAAAATCACAGCAGAATTTCTTGTAAAAGTTTCACAGGCAGAGTGAAACAGCATTTCTTTGTCAAACCATTTCATTAGAATTTCTGCCTAAAGAAAGCATCCAGATTGGCCCTGTGTGCTGCTTCCTTTAGCTGGAAAAGCCTCTATAAAGTATTTCTGGGGACTGATCCTTCAGGTACCACCCCCAGGAGGCGTATCCTTGCCCGTGACCCTTAGTTTTCAGGAGGCAGTTTTGAGCTTGCTCTTTAGTGTAGAGAACATTCCCCATTTCGATCACTCACCCCCCATGCCTTCTGACATTTGTGATGCATATGTGTTACCATTGGATAGTCACTAGCAGTCACTAGGGATGGGAGGCTCAAAGCATCCATCACACGTGACAGAATGCATTCCCCCAGCCACACCACACAAGTGCCTGACGGGCAGCTGCACAGAAGTGTGAATGTCACTTTCTGATGACTTCAGCTTCCCGGTGCAGGAAGCTGGGAAAGCAGACAGTCCTGCTGCTGGCACATTCCTTCGGTGTGACTCTTTCCCAACACGGAGGCCATATCTTCATCTGTAAACAGAGGCCGTAACACCTACCTCTGGCACTGTGAGAACCACACTGACGCCTCATAAAGGCAGCCCTGGCTTGTGGGAAGCTTCTTCCTAGCCTTCTCTCTGTCCACACACACCTTCACCACACAGGGAAGTGTTGGCTGCAGCCAGGGCTGTGACAAAGGGCAGGCGGGGGATACGCCCGTTCATGGGGCGTGTTTCCTCACTCTTTCCGACGTTTCTTGCACCAAGCACTCGGTCAGTGTTGGGAGCGTCCCACTTGGGGCAGCTCTTGCAATTGCCGGGTGCCATACAGATGATGCCCGTAAATTCGGCAGAGGAACAATCCACGTGGAAACCAGTAAGAAACAGGCACCTAATACCTCTTGCCACGCTCTGCATTTCCTTCTTACTCTCCTGGTGGTGAGCACTGTTGTGACACTGATTTTTTAATAACAAAACACAAGGCTCGCCACTGAGAACCAGGAAGGGTCTAAGAGGGGGCAGGAAGCAAGTGGGACCCCTATAACTACCAGTCCCCTCCCCCCCAACTTGACTAGGGACACTGTACTTGACAAGCTGCGTACAAAGTGCCACAGCGCAAGAGCTAAGGAGGAGCTCACCGAGACAGGTTCTGAGGACAAAGGAAGGAGGAAGACTGCACGTTCCAGTAATTCCAGCAAGGCTTGCCTCATCCTCCTTGGTCCTGCCCCACCTGCCCCGGGCCCAGCATGGCTGGTCTCTGTTCTGTTGGAGCTGAGCGGCTGGGAGCACAGGCTAGCGATGAAGGGCAGCCTGGGAAAGGCAAGGCCTTCCCTCTGCTTGCTCCTCACCACACCAGGTCAGGCAGTAGCTGTGTTCTTTCCTGGCCCCAGCCTTGTCACGTGACCCTCAGAGCCAACTGGGCCCTACGTTCTGTACCTCTGACCCCCTCCCTGTGAAAGCCTCCAGCTTCCCACGCCAGCTAATTCTCGCTGTAAAAGCCTATTTGCTTTACTGAAACTTAATTCGCAAAGCATGATAGTGGTGATTTCTGGAGCATGGGGGTTGAAATAGCCGTCAGGATGATCCATTTTAGAACATTCGAATCTCAAAAAGAGACCTGGTGCCCATTCAAGGTCCTTTAACATTTCCCCCAGTGCCTCCGGCCTTCGGGAACCACCTACCTGACTTCTGTGCCCATGGAGCTGCCTGTTCTTGAGACTTCAGATGAAGGGTCAGATGACATTCTCCACCCTTCTGAGTTCCCTTAATCTTGTCCACACCTGTGTAAACAATCCCTCCACAGAACTCCCTCAGTTAACCCTTTAGTGGGCACGTTGTCTTCCTGGGACCCTTAGCTGAGACTTGTTTACCAGGAGGAGGGAGGAAGAGAAACAGGGAACCAAGAGCAGGAAGGGCATCCCCAGCCGCGGTCACCGGCCACCGTCACCGGCCACCGGGTGGGAAGAGTGCAATCAACGCGACGAGAAACAGAATTTGGGCGCTGTGAAAGCTGAGGGACCAGAGCGGCCCTTTGAGGTTAACTGTGAGCAGGGCCCTGGGGAGAGCGTCCAGCAGCACCGAGGTGCGGAAGGCCAACAACATGGTGTGTCTAAGCACCTCTTCCTTGCTTCCATCTTAGAACTAAGCCCCAGAAACAGACCCCGCAAGTACCCCAGCCCTTCGTTTGCACTCTTGGACATGGTAAGGACTTTCTAGTGGATTCCACATCCCTGCCTGCTTTGGATCTCTTCCCTACAGGCCACTTTATTGGTTCCTCCAGAACATTCCAGAACCTTTATTCTTCCTGTTTCTTTCAGGGCATCTAATCCTGAGAACCACCATGTCCAGCACAATGGGAGGCCATCTTTAATGGACAGAAAGGAAGAAGACCAGAGACGACAGTCAGGTGGATGGTGGCAGGACGTCCTCAAGGGCCAGGTGTGTAGACACACCGTGACTTGCCGTGCGCTAAGGGAAGACTGCAGATGACTTTGAGGGAGTGTCAGCGTGAGAGGGCAGGTGAGAAGGGACACTCAAGCAAGGGGGTGACAAAGAGTCACAGGATTTTGGAGGACGTGTAGAAAGAACAGTTTCTGGAACTTGAGAAGGGGAGTTCCAGGTGTAGAGATTTGGAAAGACAGAGACACAGGTGTTCTCTGGGCTCACCCACTGGGAGGGTATGAGGAAGTTCTGCAAGGACATCTCTCTCTGAAGGTGGTCTTGGAAGACCGCATATCTCTCTCTGTCTCTCTGTCTCTCTGTCTCTGTCTCTGTCTCTCTCTCTCTCTCTCTCTCTCTGTGTGTGTGTGTGTGTGTGTGTGATTTCAGCCTTATTAAAGCAGGGCTAGGCAGTGGGTAAGTAATGAGGAAGGGAACTGTGACTTCTCCGTGGAGAAGTGCGGTAGTGAAGGGGGGGGGGCGAAGGAGGGATGTGGAATGGAGAAAACGGAAGTCAAGAATGGAGGAGAAAGAGGGCACCCGCTGGAGGAGAGCAAAGGGCTGGGAACAGGACCAGCAGAAATGTAGCCTTGGTTCCACTTGTCACTAAACAATATAGCTATTTTGTGGGTAAAGGTACCTAATCTTAATGGGTTTGCCTTTGGTTTTCCACTGTGCGCTGGTAGGCCTGAGGAGCAGTGAGACAGCACGGGACCCTGGGTCAACACGATGGGATATCCTCGGCCTCTCAGAAGTCTTCAGACTCCTCCGCTCTGCTCTTTGTCCGCATGACCTCACTTCCTGTGCTTTCTGGCAAATGTGCTTCCTGTTTGGGAATGAAAGCATTCCAGGGGAGGCAGCTACCTGCCTTCCTCTTGCTTCCTGGTTCCTGCAGGATAGCAAGGGTGCTCAGTGTGAGACCTTAGCTGGGTTCTGGTAGAACAGGGACCTGGAAACCGGGAAAGCCTGCCTGCAGTCACCTGCTGCATCTGGAAACCGGGAAAGCCTGCCTGCGGTCAGTCACCTGCTGCATCTTGAGTCACCAAGAAGAGGAGAACCCTCATCCCAACCATTGAAAAAAAAGCCCATTATTAACTTCAGCCACACCCCTCACAAACAGGTTTGCACGCTGGCCGTTTAGACAAGCGAAGGGCAAACATTAAATAATTGCAGTCCACAGCACACACAGCCAGTAAAACAGCGTGTCACAGAGGGTGGCTTTCACAGCCCTAAGTACAGGTTGGGCTTCTGCCTGTTTCATTTTGAGATAAATGTGGGTTTTTAGGGGAAAAAAAATCACAGCCTATGGAAATTTCATTAACTGTCAGAAACCTGTCTGTCTTTCTTAATTGAAGTGATCATTTTTATCCAGTTCAGAACCATGTTCTCCTGTTGCTCTCCACGGAGAAGAGGTCTTATTTTACATCCCACAAAGTTTACACACGAAGTCTCTCTGTTTCTCCCCTCCTGCATCACAGCCCTCTGATATCCTTGTCGAAGGACCATTGCTTTTCTGCCACCAATGGAGAAGTCGGTCACAAAGAGCTGGAGTGACCAGCTCAAGCCTGCAAGCCCCAGCTGATGCTGTGGGGCCAGAGCTACACACCACCCACCTTTGGAACTCAAGCCTCCCACGATCGGGTTAGGAACAGGACCTAGTAATGCTTGGAGCAAGACTGCTTCTGCTGCAGGAGTCTCCAGTTGGAACTCGTCGTCTAGAAATATCCCAGGAGCTTTTTCACCAAGTTCAATGTCACAGAACGGTACAGCTAAGAAGACCTCAGAAACTACTGAAGCCAGTCCCAGCCTCTTAGTTTACAGTCTAATAAGAAATAACAATGGATATAATTCCATTAAAATTTTTATAAGATTCAGGAAAGTCGTTTTTATTTTAATAAGATACTAAGTAAAAAAATCTGATTGAGGAGCTGGGTGGTGGTGGTGCATGCATTTAATCTCAGCATTCCTGGAGACAGAGGCAGGCAGATCTCTAAGTTTGAGGCCATCCTGGTCTACAGTTCAAGGACAGCCAGGGCTACACAGAGAAACCCTGTCTTGAAAAAACAAAACAAAACAAAAGTCAAAGAACAAAAAACAAAAAATAGGCCAGGTGGTGGTGGCACATACCTTTAATCCCAGCACTCGGAAGGCAGAGGCAAGTGGATCTTTGTGAGTTCGAAGCCAGCCTGGTCTACAGAGAGAGATCCAGGAAAGGTGCAAAGCTACACAGAGAAACCCTGTCTCAAAAACCAAAATAAATAAATAAATAAATAAATAAACCATACACCTGATTGAAACCACCAGATTTCGAAGTGGTAAAAGCCAGCATTGTCCAACAGGAATATAACACAATCACAAATATGATTTAAACCTTCCTTTAGCTACCTTACTGCAGTAAAAGAAACAGATGAAAATTGTTTTAATTATATACTATATTTTGCCCCATATATACAAAATAGTATAGTCTGCCATATGTTTAATGCAAAAATTACCAGTGAAGAATTTTATATTCTTTTAACACAGCCTTTGAAGCTGGGTTCGTATTCCAATCTTGCTATGTCTCGGTTTGCACTAGCCCAGCTGCCCGGTGGATCCCTGCCTTTATATCACTCTAACTTTGGGGGGTGGGGGGATTGACATGTCCAAAACCACATCTGAGTGGCATGTTGGTCTCTGGGGAGGTCTGGATTGTCTACTTTATAATCATGGATTAACCCTATACTGCTGTCACTGGAGAAATGAGGAGCTGCCCAGCTTCAGTGCAGGCTAATACTCTTCGGTGATTTCTGGAAATTTCCGGAATACCTTAATGAAAAGTTTCCACTTCCAGTTGCATAACAGGAGTCACATTTGCTCATGAGGCACAGGCCATAGTCTTATTTCTGTTTCCTGAATAATAAGGAAATGGGCCAGATGCAGAAGCCCAGGCCTGTAATCCCAGCACTCCTTAGTGAGGCAGGAGAATCACAGGTTTGAGTCTACCCTGAGATACATAAGGAGACTGTCTTAACAATCGTAGAAACAATAAGGAAATGTGCGCTAAGGTGACACACCCATATGTGCTCGGTGCAGCACGGTCTTTTTGGACACACAGCTCCCAATGCCACCTTCTGAGCATTTGCCAATAGATGCTGACGTTGCTGCCAATCATCTTTACACCGAGGTCGTTTCTCCAGCTGCCGCCAGGACTTAAACCTTCACACCCCGAGGCTTTAATTTTCAGTCTCAAATGCATCTTTGTTGTGCTCGTTTCTTAGGTAACAGCATCCAGGCCTTGGGAAGGGTCAGCAGGAAAGATGTTTAAGGAATTACAAACCTGAAACACGATCCATCTTGAGAAATGTCGCTGGGAAAGACAGGCAGCCAGAGACCACGGATCCCACGGGAACAGGACGGTCCAGAACAGAATTAGTACGAGGTCAGTGTCTGGTAGCGTTCCCCTTGGGGCAGCCCTTGTGATTGCTGTGTACCATACAGATGATAGCTGTAGTGTGGAAGAGGAACCGCCCACTGAAGACCAGCAAAAAGTAGGCACTCAATAGGTATTACCACACTTCCCGCTTCCTTCTTAATCTCCTGGATAGTGAGCACTATTATGACACTGATTTCCATACAAACAAGGTACACATTTTAAAAAAATCCTTCAGAAATGTGTTTCCTTCAGTTGAAGCCTAGAGCAAATGTAGTGGGCAGCCATTCCAACCTTGATCTGGAAGTTCCAACCCCCATTGAGGCTTCGGTAACTGTACGCCAACAAGGCGGGGCCAAGAGAGGACCCTGAAGACCCGAGATCCGGATGTGCCATCTCTCTTGGTTCCTGGACCCTGGACGCTGGAGGTAGACCGAGCAGAGTTCTCCAGAGAACACCACCAGACTGTGCCACGCCTTTCCTAGACCCTGCAACCTACCTATCCCTTCACTTGTAAGTTACACCACTAAATAAACCTCCCTTTTAACTATGTGGAGGTGCCTTAATAATTTCACCAATAAGCAAAGTGCAAGTCCAGCAGAAGGGGTGATGCTGCAGTCTCAACCCTCCCACACCACCCCGCCTCCATCCTCAGCGTGCTCAGAGGAGCACTGGTTAGTGAAAACAGCTGAGAAAGAGGTGGCCACAAGGGATGTTGATGTCACTTGTCCTTTTGATTGGCAACCTCCCACCTCACATATAAAGGCAATCACTGCCTCTGAGAGCCATGCATGTTAATAAAACAGCCTTGGTGGCATATGGGGACTCTCCTGGGAACTGTCGATCATTGCTGCTGAGTCCTAGGCAGAAAACTAGATGGGGAGGCTCCACCTCTTCGGGGTGAGGTGATTCAGTGAGGTGGAGTCCTGGGTCATGACAGGAGAGTCCAAGAGTCTCCCTTGCCTGTTTTCTAGGCTCGTTCCTTCTCAGCTCGGAATTGCATGGTTATTGTGAAAATGTATGGGTTGGGACTCCCTGCAGTGGCCATCAATGCCTGGAAATGCACAGCATCCTCTCATTGTGTGTGGGGAAAGGCTGGCCAGAGCTGGTGAAGGGACCGCTGCCAGCATCCAGATACGGCTCAGCCGAGCTCTCAGAGGCAGACACTGGCTTAGACCTGGAGCAGCTCAGTCCTGTGTGACAGACGTGATCATTGTCCAGTGAGTCAGGGGTGCTAGACACTGCAAGAAACACACACAAAACCCGGGACAAACTATTTCGTGGAGAGGCACTGTGCAAGCAGCTGCTCTCTGAGGGCTTCTCGGCTACTGCCTCTGCCCAGATGCCATCAGGGGGCTGTACCATCAATACCCTCAGAAACCCCAATTGCTTCTTATAGCTTTTACCTCAAAAGACCATCAGCGTGTGAATTTGGGGCTTATGCTTCAAACACATGAACTTTGGAGGAGCTTCATGTAAGCCGTAGCAACAAGAGAAAGACAAAACAAAACAAGACAGTTCTTTGCTTTGGGGCACTGTGTTTTTAAATACCCCAGCCAATCAGAAAAAAAAAAATGTTGACATCATCACATGAAATCCTGACCCGCAAAGGCACCTCAGAGCTGTTCCACGCAGCCTCTCCCTGTGCTCATAAGCCAGCATTGTACAGTGTCATCTATGAAGAGCTACCGTTCCTCTTGTTTGCACTTGGAGAACCATTTCCCAGGGCTACGGAAAAAAAAAAAATCGCTGTGGCCCGGTTGCTAAGATACCTGTTAGTCTAAAGCAGCTTCCAAAGGGTTAACGAGAAATGAATCACCCGCAGTGCACACAGCTGTCCTCTTGCCTGTGACTAAGGGAAGAAGGAAAGGTAGCTCTGCGCTTTGCCCCCCTTTCCTCCCCACATGGGTCCTTGTCCATGAGTTGTCCTTAGCGCCCACCAGATCTGTGGCCAGCTCCAAGAGCACAGGATGAATGAGAATGTGGTTCCTTTCCTCAGGAACACTCAGATGAATGTTGTCCCCTCCCTCAACACAGCTCAATCAGAGGGATTCAGGGCCAGGGATTCAGGGCTAGGTATTATGCTAATGTTAACTAGGCTGGGACTGAGTTCTTCCCCTATACTCTTTGCTGAATTTGAAAGAAAGAAAGGAAGGGAGGGAGGGAGGGAGGGAGGGAGGGAGGGAGAAAGGAAGGAAGGAAGGAAGGAAGGAAGAAAAAAGAAGGAAGGAAGGAAGAAAAGAAAGAGAATTGTATTCTTAGAATTTTATGAATCTGATTTTTGATGAATTTGATGGGCCTATTCCCATTGCTCTAAACTCTGAAGCTTGACTGTAATTTGTTTTCATTGTGTATGAAAGTAGATCGGTAGAAAAAATAGGTATGTCAAATCAAGACATTGTTATAACAATGATAATTGTCTGAAATCTCTTATTTTGTAAATGCAGGAACTGGGTATAAGAAGAGTTAAGAAATGTGTGCTGAGGATCCACTCAGTATTTAAGTATCTCTCCATGCCAAGCGCGAGGCTCCGTTGCTAATAAGAACGGGGCCAGCAGCAAGCCAGGCCTTCTGACGCTCCTCCTGTTGGTGTTCCCAAGGCTCTTCTTAACCTCTTTACAAATCAGACCAGCCTCCCTGGCAGGTACCACGAAGTCTCGCAGGGGGAGAAGTGCTGCCTTGGTCCTGGCCGGGTGCGCACTGGCATGGCTCTCCCTCTGGAGGCGCACAGGGCAGTGGCTTTGCCTGAATGATGGCAGCTTTGCACATTGGTCCCCAATAGCTGGACAAGAGGGTGACCCAAGTCCTCTCGGTTGCTGCTTTGCAACGGTTGGGGACTCTACAGCAAGGTGTGTGGACTTCTCACAGGAGAGTAAAATGTGCTATGATCGTAAGGCTACAAGAACACGGCCACTTTTGCTCACTTGGACTGGCATGCCACCTGTACAAAATATCACCTTTCTTTAATGTTCAGATTATCTAATCAAAAAGGAAAGATAACAAATGTAAAGACAAAGGATCCAAAGACGTGACGTTAACTCCAGGGCTGCTGTCACTGTTGTGGCAGCCTGCCGACAGCTGACCTTGCCCTCCCCTCAATCCCCACTTTTCATCCTGTTTCATCTGCAGAGTATCTGAAGGTTGGCTGCAAAGCTGGCGACAAAGGCCCTGGTTTACTTGGAGTTTCTCATTCCTAGCATAAAAAAATGAAATTGCATTTCTATTCCAGGAGAAAAACTGTGATAGGATTTTATTAAATCCTGCCTTAGTGACCCCTTGCCTAAGAGGTTGGGAACTGACTCCAGGAGAAAAATGAGCCTGCCTGAGGGAGTATCTGGGTCCTTTCACCCTGAGTCAAGAGCAGAGACTAATAGTCTTTAACTATAGGTACCTTAGATACTTTC